TTCTTTATGATATTCACATGAACACTGTACAACATTACCGAATAGATCTTTCTTGACAACAGATTTATGACGAGGACAGTTGTCTATGGCTGTTAATTCTTTGGCCCAGCGCGAACCAGTTGATGGTCTTTGACCACGCCCAAACAAAAAAGTTCCCGAGGCATAATCGCTGAGGCGTTTGATCCATTCAGAGGTAGGAAGACCTGTCTTCGTTGGTATAAAACTGTTCTCTGTTGGTTCTACATGTAGGAATTGCTTCGTGATACAAACAATTATCACACTAATCCTTGGAAAACTTATAATATCAAAATGAAAACGAAAGTTTTCCATTGTCAGTCACAGTCGAGTGAAAACAAGTGATGTAAACACGGCAAACTATAGGTAAATTTGAATCCAGTTCAGAAGTTCTGCCGGCAACCTGCGCAAGGATGACACGCAAATTCGTGAAGCGTTCCATATTTTTCGAATCTTGATACGAGATCCTTTTTACAAACCCTTATCCTAACGCCTGGTATATAATGCTATTTCTTTTTTAATTTCGGTGTTTCTTTGTGAGCAGCTTTAAGGCAGTTCTCTGAATAACAGCACGGTTATACATAGGTATAATTTAGGTAAACAATAATACAACGCCATAACAATCGCCGCTTAAAACAATTCAATGCATTGTTCTTGCTGTTTGATGCCAGTATTGTAGGTTGAAGTGCCGAAGAAGGTTTCCGAAGCCAATGAATTGCCAAACAACTCAATTACGTCATAATTAGCAATACAATTGACATATATATGCTTCCACAATGCAACGATTATTGCACTTATAACCCTTCCAACCGCATCAAAACTATTTGTTGCTATTATAGGCAGATGGATATACACTTATCATTAAAACTTGTCCTATTATCGTCAATTAGAACTTGAAATTTTAAAGTGTAAATGATGTTTCACGTCAAATCCCCCCTCCCTTCTCTTTTGATTTTCGCATAGTTGTTTTTCCTTTGGTTGTTTGATGTCGGCAACTTTTACAGATATAACTACTTTGCCTTGTTCTATTTCTATTTAGTTCAGTGCGCAGGCGCAATTTACCATTTTCTATCACATGGGTTTGTTTATACGTCACAATTACGATGATAAAGAGAGTAACTACCAGGGAGCTTTGATGTGTGGTAAGTCTATGGTACTTAATGGAATTACGGACCTCTTTCCGATTGTATTATTTACGTAATACATATACTAAAATTGCAACGATACAGAGAAGATTAGCATGGCCCCTGCGCAAGGATGACACGCAAATTCGTGAAGCGTTCCATATTTTTCGAATCTTGATACGAGATCCTTTTTACAAACCCTTATCCTAACGCCCTGTATATGATGCTATTTCTGTTTTAATTTCGATATTTCTTTGGGAGCAGCTTTAAGGCAGTTCTCTGAATGACAGCACGGTTATACATAGGCCTAATTTAGGTAAACAATAATACAACGTCATAACAATCGCCGCTTAAAACAATTCAATGCATTGTTCTTGCTTTTTGATGCCAGTATTGTAGGTTGAAGTGCCGAAGAAGGTTTCCGAAGCCAATCAATTGCCAAACAACTCAATTACGTCATAATTAGCAATACAATTGACATAATATATGCTAACACAATGCGACGATAATTGCACTTATAACCCTTCCAACCGCATCAAAACTATTTGTTGCTATTATAGAAAGATGGATATACACTTATCATTAAAACTTGTCCTATTATCGTCAATTAAAACTTGAAATTGGCACTCTTTTCCAAATGACGCTATTGAAGCACGCGTTTTCACTTCGGCTGGACCTCATTGACATTGAGAAATGACCAGGAGTTTACTTCTAGCAGACGATATTTCTTTCTAACATTCATACGTATTCACCTATTAAAAAGGAGACCGAGATATTATCCTGTCCTATCTACTACCTACGGGCACGTTGTATGGTCACATCCATTAAAGTGTAAGTGATGTTTCAACATCAAATCCCCCCTCCCTTCTCTTTTGATTCTCGCATAGTTGTTTTTCTTTTGGTTGTTTGATGTCGGCGACTTTTACAGATATAACTACTTTACCTTGTTCTATTTCTATTTAGTTCAGTGCGCATGCGCAATTTACCATTTTCTATCACTTGGGTTTGTTTATACGTCACATTTACAACCATACTAACGATGATAATGAGTGTAACTGGGTAATACCAGGGAGCTTTGATGTGTGTTAAGTCTAGGGTACTTAATGGACTGACGGACCTCTCTCAAAATCTCATTACTCACGTGATACATATACTAAAATTGGATAAAGGCTTACTAAGAAGATGTTCCCAATGATATCGGTAAAAACTATTTTAATCCAAGTAATTGCTTTAAACCCTATATTAACATAAATGTATCCACATCAGTTTAGTATGAATGATTTTTACCGTTTATTTTGTCGTCTGCCACTTTTAATATAGGACAGTACAGTAAATATATATACAGATATAGTAGTTACAGTAGATAGTTAGAGAGTAAGTTTAGCTTCTTTTAACTTTTTAACTTTTAAAGTGTCTGGATTTTGATATTGTGTACAGCATAATGGATAACGAACCACTGTGTGCCGAAATCGCCGATGAATATGTCAGAGAAATAATGGCTAACTCACACACCGCCGAAAGTGATCAGAATACGGATAGGAAAAGATTTTACTCCGATGATAGTGATGTTGAGGACACGTCTGAAGCATTCAGGGAGCGAAAGAAAAGTAAGAGCTGTTTTGAAAGGGACGGAGAATCATCTGAAGGATTCAACGCACAATTTATGAAGTTTGCTAATAGTATGCAGGATTCCTTTAAGAAATTAAACATGAGGATAGATGATTTAGAAGATAATCTGGAAAAGAAAATAGTAGGTAGAATTTCACAATCTATTAATGCTAAAATCGAGGAAAGTGTCAAGAATCGTGTGACAGAAGAAGTGACAATTATGAAAGCAGAAATTTCTGAAAACATTAAAACAATAGAACATAAAATTGCGAATTTGAAAATGACCAGGGAACCAGTCGACCAGAACGTAGAGAGCAGTCGAACAAAGAATATAGTGATTAAAAATCTCCTGCCCTGGGAGCAGCTTTAAGGCAGTTCACTGAATGACAGCACAGTTATACATAGGCCTAATTAATTTTATTCAAATCATCTTTTCCTCCTAAACATACCTTTTCTGGCATTATAAAGTGGAAGATCTTGAGATTTCACCGAATTCTTATATATTTCAGATTCGGAAGATAATGGATTTGCATTTCAAATATTCTATATCATTCTTTTAAACTAACTTCACAAACATTGCTCTATCACTAGAGGTTACACCTACATGCCTGTGCCTGTGCTTTCGTAACATTGCTTAACCGCAATGTTACAACCTAAAATTCCTAATTTAGGTAAACAATAATACAACGTCATAGCAATCGCCGCTTAAAACAATTCAATGCATTTTTCTTGCTTTTTGATGCCAGTATTGTAGGCTGAAGTGCCGAAGAAGGTTTCCGAAGCCAATGAATTGCCAAACAACTCAATTATGTCATAATTAGCAATACAACTGACATATATATGCTTCCACAATGCGATGATAATTGCACTTATAACCCTTCCAACCGCATCAAAACTATTTGTTGCTATTATAGACAGATGGATATACACTTATCAATAAAACTTGTCCTATTATCGTCAATGCGAACTTGAAATTGACCCTTTTTTCCAAATGACGCTATTGAAGCACGCGTTTTCACTTCGTCTGTACCACATTGTCATTGAGAAATGACTAGGAGTTTACCTCTAGCAGACGATTTTTTTCTTTCTAACATTCATACGTATTCATCTATTAAACAGGAGACCGAGATATTATTCTGTCCTATCTACTATCTTTCGCCACATCTTAGGGCACGTTCTATGGTCACATCCATTAAAGTGTAAGTGATGTTTCAACATCAAATCCCCCCTCGCTTCTCTTTTGATTTTCGCATAGTTGTTTTTCTTTTGGTTGTTTGATGTCGGCGTCGTTTACAGATATAACTACTTTGCCTTGTACTATTTCTATTTAGTTCAGTGCGCATGCGCAATTTACCATTTTCTATCACATGAGTTTGTTTATACGTCACAATTACAACCATATTAACGTTGATAACGAGTGTAACTGGGTCATACCAGGGAGCTTTGATGTGTGGTAAGTCTATGGTACCTAATGGACTTACGGATCTCTCTCTAATTGCATTACTGACGTAATCCATATACTAAAATTGGAACGATACAGAGAAGATTAGCATGGCCTCTGCGCAAGGATGACGCGCAAATTCGTGAAGCGTTCCATATTTTTCGAATCTTGATACGACATCCTTTTTACAAACCCTTATCCTAACGCCCGGTATGTGATGCTATTTCTTTTTTAATTTCGGTGTTTCTTTGGGAGCAGCTTTAAGGCAGTTCTCTGAATGACAGCACGGTTATACATAGGCCTAATTTAGGTAAACAATAATACAACGTCATAACAATCGCCGATTAAAACAATTCAATGCATTTTTCTTGCTTTTTGATGCCAGTATTGTAGGTTGATGTGCCGAAGAAGGTTTCCGAAGCCAATGAATTGCCAAACAACTCAAGGGAGCTTTGATGTGTGGTAAGTCTATGGTACTTAATGGAATTACGGACCTCTTTCCGATTGTATTATTTACGTAATACATATACTAAAATTGCAACGATACAGAGAAGATTAGCATGGCCCCTGCGCAAGGATGACACGCAAATTCGTGAAGCGTTCCATATTTTTCGAATCTTGATACGAGATCCTTTTTACAAACTCTTATCCTAACGCCCTGTATATGATGCTATTTCTTTTTTAATTTCGGTGTTTCTTTGTGAGCAGCTTTAAGGCAGTTCTCTGAATAACAGCACGGTTACACATAGGCCTAATTTAGGTAAACAATAATACAACGTCATAACAATCGCCGCTTAAAACAATTCAATGCATTGTTCTTGCTATTTGATGCCAGTATTGTAGGTTGAAGTGCCGAAGAAGGTTTCCGAAGCCAATCAATTGCCAAACAACTCAATTACGTCATAATTAGCAATACAATTGACATATATATGCTTCCACAATGCGACGATAATTGCACTTATAACCGTTCCAACCGCATCAAAACTATTCGTTGCTATTATAGACAGATGGATATACACTTATCAATAAAACTTGTCCTATTATCGTCAATTAGAACTTGAAATTGGCACTCTTTTCCAAATGACGCTATTGAAGCACGCCTTTTCACTTCGGCTGGATCACATTGACATTGAGAAATGACTAGGAGTTTACCTCTAGCAGACGATTTTTCTTTCTAACATCCGTACGTATTCATCTATTAAACAGGAGACCGAGATATTATCCTGTCCTATCAACTACCTATTGCCATATCTTACGGGCACGTTCTATGGTCGCATCTACTAATGGGTAAGCGATGTTTCAACATCAAGTCCCCCCTCCCTTCTCTTGTGATTTTCGCATAGTTGTTTTTCTTTGGGTTGTTTGATGTCGGCGACGTTTACAGATATAACTACTTTGCCTTATATCATTTCTTTATAGTTCAGTGCGCATGCGCAATTTACCATTTCCCATCACGTGGGTTAGTTTATACGTCACAATTACGATGATAATGAGTGTAACTGGGTCATACCAGGGAGCTTTGATGTG